AGTGGAGTGAGTGGAGTGAGTGGAGTGAGTGGAGTGAGTGGAGTGAGTGGAGTGAGTGGAGTGAGTGGAGTGAGTGGAGTGAGTGGAGTGAGTGAGGTGAGGTGAGGTGAGGTGAGGTGAGGTGAGGTGAGGTGAGGTGAGGTGAGGTGAGGTGAGGTGAGGTGAGGTGAGGTGAGGTGAGGTGAGGTGAGGTGAGGGGAGGGAGGGAGTGAGTGAGTGAGTGAGTGATTCACCAAGCACTGTACAGGCCACGAAATCTGCAAACGAGCCACATGTCCAAAAGCCACAATTCACTGCACCTGTTAAGAAATCTGAGCTCCTCGACGATCACCACCATGTCCAAAGTGCTGCATCTGCAACGAAAACTGCATTTCGAAGTAAAACAGCTCCGATCCCTTGCGCCAGCACGAGGTTTCTCTTGCGCCTGCCACGAAAAGTGACCACCATGTACCAAAATGCGCACGGCGCCGCAACGAGAGCGCAGTCGCAGTCGCTAGAAGCATCCGCCGCCTGCCCCCAGACTTTGTGAGCCTGCGCAGTCGAAGTGCACATGGACGATGTCGCGAGGCATGAATGTAATGTAAATAGCAACGAATTAGCCGGACACGGCTGCGACGCACAGCGATCTAAGCACACCTGCTTTTCACCTGCCGTAAGCACCCCTCGGTGTGCCCACACTGTTTGGGGAAAACAAAAGAAACTAGGAACCGCATGAAAAGTGTGAGCGCTTCTTCAAGCCCTAAGGGCTTCCTTGAAGAAGTGTGACCTTTCTTGCGTCCAGCAGTCAGTAGCTACTTAAGCTTAGTAGCTACCATTTATAGCTCGCTTGTTAGCTACCTCTCACGGGCGGCCCAACCCTAACAAAAGGTACAGTAATGGTCCCAAAGTTTCACCCATGGGGCGAGGTTAAGCAGCAGGGCTCCCGTCGTGGAGCCTACTGTCAATGAGCAAAGTTATACTTCTAATTGATCGTTCATTGAAAGCTCCAGGCGATGCGGAAAATTCAAGCCCTCATCTGAGAGCAATGTGTCTTGCTTTCAGATAACTCGCTCGAACTTTTCTTATCTTGCAGGTGCCTCAATTTGCATAATCCTTCTATATAGACTTGTGCTCTTACAAACCTTGCGCTGTCTTTCCTGTAGAACCTTTCAGAACCAGAACCTATTGGGAGAAGCTCTCCATGCGTGGATTCAAGCAGTGTCCATTATCAAGCTGGGCAGAATTGCAAAGCAATCAAAAAAGGCGCCTAAATGCACGCAGCATGGCATACAGGAAAGTGAGTAGCTTGCCATCCTGGCCATTCTAGCCAGTGAGTTAGTTTTGATGAACCTGTGGCCTCACCACTGTTCAAAGCTTCAATTGACCTGTTGCGCTGTCCTGAAAGTGTTCTTCAAAAGATGTTGTCTCCACCAACGGAAAAGTTCGGACTTCCTGACACCTTCGACTGTCAGGTGGGCTTTGCTTTGAATCAAAGAAAATTATCCAACGTAGTTTTTAGAAACTAAATTGAACATGGGATCAATGCACGCAGGCATCATCCACTTGGCCTCTTGGAATATTTGGCCCGGTCATTGGCTTGCCAGTTCTGCCTATATAGCAGTTCCAGAACCGAAGCAAACAGGATGTGGGAGCCAAGAACATGTTTACGCCAAATCCAGTGCAGTTGAACTGTTTCAATGGTGTCCAGCCTGCTGTCCTCCACATCACCCGCTGTTAGCAAACTGGCTGCCTCAAAGCAACGCTGATGCTGTTAGCACTGAGCTTTAAAACAGTGTCCTTTGTTGCTGGGGCCAAAGCACGATGTTTAGTCTCCATGAGGATACCTCGAGAAGGTAAAAAGGGCCGTTTGCCTGTAACATGGGTTTGCTTTGATGTAATTAATTGCGTTCCTGAATAGAATTGAAAGTGGCACGGCACGAGAAGCTTTCTTCCCCGCTGCAGAAAGCACTGTCCTCGATCTTATTTCATGCGCAGAAGATGGTGCCTGCGCAGCTGCTGCAGGTCTCTCTTGAGCTCTGGTCCACAACAGGTTTCCTGGATGGTGGACCAACTATGACCAGCTCAAGTAGATGCAAGGGGAATGAAAACCACAACGCAGGCAGGTGGGTCACACTGACCCTAATGATCATGAGTCACGACTTCCTGCGTTGCAAGAAAAGAGAACTGCTTGAGAATCTTCCAATTGAAGGAAAAATGCGGGAGAGATGAACCAACCTCTTGGGATGGAATCCTTTGGGATTCGGATGCGTCAGCTCATTGCTCGGCCCACTGGTTGTAGCCCCTCTTTAAGTGGAACGGAGCAAGTTGTAGTCCCCGCTCGTGTAGAAGGAGGAGAAGCTGCACCAGGAAAGCCGCCGTCATGCGTCGGGCGCTGGCATTGAGGAGTGAGGAGATGTTAATTTGCCTGATTGGTAGGCACCGCATTGATCTGGATCCAGTTGAGGTCAGCACTGCTCAGCAGATCCATCAAGCTCTGGTCGGAGTCCTGATCCTGGTCAGGGATGTCAGCTGGCGCTGCCGATGCCGCTGCTAGAAGCGCAGCTCTATATAGCGCCCTCGCCTTCCACGATGGTGCCAAAGATCTTGTCCATGGTGATAGGTGATCCCGGGATGTTGCAAATGGCGGCCAGGTCCGGCTCACTAGGTCGCGCCGAAGACTTCACACGAACCGCTGCGGCATGGCATGGTAGTCCTTTCTTGTCCTGGCAATGCAGCAGCCCTCGAGCAAGCAGGTCAATGGCTCGTCAGCTTGGTGTTCTGAAAGCATTCCAGGACACGGGTCAGTTGGCAGGAGGATGGCGGTGCAGGAGCCACAGTGAGGCCTTGCCCAGAAGGGGAACCTTAGTGTCCGCTCACATGCCCCCCAGGCTACAGATGGAAAGACCTCAGGATCAGTACTGGAAGGGTCCGGACTCCCGGGTGCGCCCAGCTTGATCGCCCGAGGCAGTCTCTTCCAATTGCAAATGAAAGTGCAAAAGAAGTTCGAAAAGCGCTTTTCCAATCAGTCTGTCTCGCTGAGACCAAGCTTGAGCCAAAATGGCAGGGCCATCAGGGCCATTTTGGCAACTATGTCAACGACACATTGCTTGCTCTGCACAAGCTCCGAGCAAAGAACAAATTGTCTAAAGCACCCATGTGAGAGGGTGCCACATTTGTGCCACGTGGTCATGATGTCATTGTATTGTCTAAAGAGGTCGGACCACTTCTATCATAATGATAGTTAAGCAGTGATTGCAGCAAGTGGCAAATGAGGTCTGGCAAGCAGAGGCTCAAAAGACTTTTGGATTGCAACATCGTGCGACAAGGCTAGCACAGTTGAGCCAGCGAGTTAGAATATCCTGCAATTCATGCGCAGTCCATGTATATGCATCGACAAGAAAGACTCATTCACTGCGCGGGTCCTGGCACGGTAAGCAAAGAATGTCCTGTCCACCACCCAAAAAATTAAGCAAACAATGCCTCTTCAAAGCACTCAAATCAAGTCTAACTACAAGCTGCACCACCTATGCACTCTGTATGAATCTGGCCTGAATGGTTTCATTTGGCTCTGTCGCCAGAAACAATATGTCCTCAAGGACTTCATGTGGGTGAGAGGCAAAGAGGCAATCTCAACAGAAGCCTCTTTTTTTTGTAGCTCCTTGGACAGCATCTTCTGCTTACAAAGCATGTTCTCTGCAAGGCTAAAGTTGCCCAAAAGATTCATGAAGATCTGCGGAAGAAAGTTGCGAAAGACAAAGAAGACTCTTCGCTGTGACGTCAAAACTGAAGTCTATGAGGTGTCCACCTCCATGATCAAATGAAGGGCTCGCCTGAGGCACTGATAAGGGCCAAACAAAATGTGTTCAATAGACATTTGCTATGTTTAAATTCAGCTGCATGGACATGTACGTGTGACTTATACATGTGTGCAAAAATCCATATGATATTACTACTGATATTACTATTTATATGCTGCTTCCTCCTCAAGTTGCAGCGTCTGCTTTATTTCAGATGTGTAAAATGTCACCATTTGTGTAACCTCAGTCTACGTCTCGCCAATTTGGAGATTGCTTCTCAAAACGTGCGTTCTGGCCTGGCATCTGCTGGAGACATTGTCTGCAGCCTCTTTGGATACAAAGGAAACTCTGCACATGGAGACACACACCCACACTCTGTGAGCAATCAGAGTTCCAGAAAGCTGCCTGTAGTCCACTCTGCTCTTGTCTTCTTGAGCGGCTTGAAGCTTGCGTGTCTCACGGAACAAATGTCAGTGTGGCAAAAGCCCTACAGACTCTGCGTCTTTGTATTGCAATCCACCCAAGGCAAAAAAAGTGATGACTGGAAGAATCATGTGATTCTTCGGAAGCTCAGTCTTCAACCATCATGTAGTTCACCTCACTATCAGACTGTACTCGCACGCTGTCATTCTTTCAAAAGCTGGTGGTCTTCTCATACAAGACAAATTGGAACAGGACAGATTTGTCAGAGACATGCTCTCGCTCATACGCATGCCGCCGGTCCTTCCAGGGTCATACTGCAACCCTATGCGCGTGCAAAACTTTTGCAAAGCGGAGTTAATAGCGATGGCCTCCAACCTCCTAGCAATGGCCCAACTTACTAGCGATGGATGGCCTCCAACCTAATAGCGATCCAGAATGATTCATTCAGTCTGATTCCGTTCTTGCAAAGTTTCCAGAAACTTCTGCACTCCTCAGCCTCTTGCAAACGGACTCCCAGCATGCGCTTGTGCAACTTTTTGATATTCAGCTCCTTGCGAAGAGAACTATTGTAAAGTTGTAATTTCCTGAAACTGTAGATCTGCAAACCGTGCATCAAATTGCATGACCACATTGCCTTCAGACCTCAGAGCTGTCCGCTCCTCCTTTCTTCGCTCGGTCTGCAGAGCCACAGCAATGTGGCTCCAGCTCGTGAAAAACAGGCCCACATACTGCGACGTGGCAAATAGACAAACTCTGAAATCTCTGGTGAGACCCAAAGTGTCGGATCACAGCGCCAAGTTCAACTCGATGCCTCACGGTTGATTCTCACAGAACGCTCCATCTTCTGCACCTGCTCCGCTTCGATGATCTCCTGCAGAATAAAGCCATCAAGGCAAGTCCAGATTCATCACGATACGAGTATTTGGTCCTCTCTGGCAGCTTCCGGGTATGCTTGGAGGCGAAGGGATGCAGAAATCGCAGGTATAAAGGGAAATAGAATGAGCATTCAAGACGATCTGAATGATACGATTCGACTATAGGATTCTATAGATATTGTTAGTTAGTTTACAAAAACAGTGTAAAGCTAGGGCCTCCTTCCATAGCAGTCGCCAAAAGGCAAAGGCCCAGCCTGGGCATGTGTACGGTGTTGCCCGAAGGAGCGGAATGGACATAGGATGTACAAAGCTGTTGCCTTTGCTTATCTTGCGTTCAAAAAGAATCCTGTTTTTATAGATGTCTAAAGCTTTATGATATTGATGCGCAGGTATTTAGGGTTCATTATTTGTCTACTTGAGAGAGGAGGGGGGTGAACGAAAGGTAGCAGGGAATCAGGCGTAATCCGGGAGGAGGTGAGAGGCCCCCCACTTGTTTGAAGAGAAGTGACTGAGCGTGATGAAAGAAAAACTGATGCGCAAACTAATCACAATCACGTCACATATTTCTCAAATGCAACTTCGGATTTACATAGTGACGTGCTGCGACCCTGTAAATTGCGTGGCCGCAGGCCATGCTTGCAAACAGGGCGAGCTCAAAAACACTGGTATTTACGAGGTTTTGTTGCCGTCGATCCACAGCCGCGGCAAGGTCTAAGGCCACGCTTGAAGACAGGAGGAGCTGAAAACACTAGTATTTACGGTGTTTTGTAGCCGTCGATCCAGAGGCGCACCACGGTTGTGTGCTGGAAAAGCGCAGAAAACCGTGTAAATACCGGCGTTTTCTGCCGGGAAGGTGCACAAAACCCTGTAAATACCATAGTTTTGTGCAATTTTGAAGCCTCCAAAAGCCTCAAAATCCCGTTCCGACAAAATCTTTCCTGGTTTTTGGTCTTTTTTCGGTCATTTTTCCAACCGATACGCATCAAAAACCAACGGTTTTTGCGGTGTTTTTTGCCGGGCAGCCACAAAAAACGCTGTAAATTCAATGATTTTTTGTCACTGTTGAGGACTGGAAGAGCTGAAAACACTGGTATTTACAGTGTTTTCGGACCGTTGACCCCGAGGCGCGCCAGGGTGGAGTTGAAGGGGGGGGGGGGGCCCCCTGAAAAGTAGAGCCTACCTGTACAGGGTTCCACTCCAACAGCCGATATAGTGTGTCCATACTTGACTGCTTCAAGGCTCAAAGAGCAAGAGGATAAGACTCTGCGCATAAAAGACACTAGCGGTCTGCACCTCTACCGTGTACGCCCTAGTCACTCTTTCAGTGGTAGCGGAGCAGTGATCCTGGAAGACCCAGGTGAGCTCCTTTCCTAGGCATAGACTTGCTAGTGGGCAAACGGCCATGGATTGGATTGACGACTGGGAAGAGCCTGATGCGGATGTGGCTTATGAGCCAGCAGCCTACGTGAATAGGCATGTGAGAAGAGAACCAGCAGCGATAGCTATGACAACACAGGTCACTACAAAGGTGCCCCCATCTTATGATGGAAAGACTTCATGGTTTTCCTATGAGGATGCCATAGACGATTGGTGTGATATCACCGAGCTGGAGGATGAGAAGAGAGGAACAGCATTGAGAAACCGACTAGAAGGAGAAGCAGCTGTATACAAGCGAGTTTTAGACAGAGATGCATTGAAGGCTAATGAGCCACCAGGAGCTGGAGTAGATTACTTCAAGAGAGTACTACGACCATATTTCGTGAAAGGATCAACCAATGTATTCCTGTATAGGTTCATGCAATTTGTGCGCTTCAATCGAGGATCAGCTGACATGATGAAATAAATGGATGACAAGATTCCAGATTTTACTCCAAAGGCTTATGAGCAGTTGGATGGACATGTTAGAACCAGTCACTCAAGCACATCCACAAGTCCTAGCTCAGATGCAGCGTTGACTGGAGTAGCACCAACGGCAGAAAGGATTCAGGAAATCACGCAGACCATCAATGGCAATATGAGGACTTTTCATCAGAACGAATTTCCTCTAGGAGAAAATCTCATTGCCTTACTCATGCTGTCACTTGCAGATTTGTCTCAGGACCAGCGAAACACTTTGACTTCTTTGATGACTCATCGTGGCAGAGTCCTGCAGCAATACACTACAACAGAGTTGAGGACAGTGTTCATCGAGATGTTCTGCACGACAAAGACTTCAGTAGACAATCCTTTGATGCAGCCTACAGGTGCTGGAGGTAGAAGATCATTTCTCGTACTAGACGAAGGAGAACTCGATGGTACATTTGGCTATTGGGCCGAAGATGAAGAAGATGGAACAGAAGGATTTTTAGATGCCCTGGACGATGTCTTTTGGGTATATGATGATCAAAACTTCTCGTGGTTCCAAAGGAGATTCCAAGGAAGAAGAGCCAGAAAAGGCAAAGGAAAAGGAAGAAGAAAAGGAAAAGGTAAAGGAAGATCAGGCCGCAGATTTTTCAGACCTCGTGGAAAAGGAAAAGGAAAGAGACGAGGTAAAGGCCATTTTGCTGATGAGCAACAGACAACTTTTCCAGATGAATACTTTGAAGAGAATCCTTATGAGGACACTTGGGAGTCAAACCAAGGAGCATATGATGCCATTCTTGCCGAAGATATGAATGACTATCTTCAAGGAGAATATGATGATGCCAATGACTTTTGGCAACAGCTTGAAGAAGCATGGTTTTCCCACAAAGGAAAAGGAAAAGGCAAGAGAAAGGGCAAGAAAGGAAAAGGAAAAGATAAAGGAGATGGCAAACAAGATGCAAACTATGCAAATCAACAACAGCCACGTTCTTTACCTGCACCTTCAAGATCTTCACAAGCATCAGGAGGTCAACAAGGTTTCTTTGCGCATTGTGTGACAGCAGCAGCTGAAGTCCATGACAGTGAGGTGGACTTGCTGTCAGGCATGATGACCTCATGCCAAGATGAAGCTGACTGCGCGGTCAACAATGGTGAGGCGATCTTCGATGACATGAGTGCCCCTGTGAGGTACTCTTTGTCAAAGGAGATGCTCACAAAGGCTCCTGATGGCTTTGCGCTTATGAGCGCTGAGGAAGAAGTGAAGGAGATGCAGGCCATTTCATTTTTGACTGAGAATCGCTTCCCGCCGACTATTGCAATCCTGGACATTGGATGCACTAGAGCTATGGGATCAAGGCGAGCAGTCGACCATTTTTGCAACTATGTCGACAATCACCCAGATTGTGGATTATGGTACTCTTTTGAGGCTACCAAGAGCAAGTTTTACTTTGCCAATTCCCAGAAGGCTACTTGCTCTCAGAAACTGGTGATTTACATGTATGATCGTGCATGGACGATCCACCATACAGAGTTCGACATAGTGGAAGAAGGAGAAGTCCCTTTGCTTATGAGCTTGCCACAGATGAGGAACTTAGGCTTTGAACTCAGGCTGACACCTCAACATGCGTATCTGACGTCGGTGCCTCTTGGTATCAAATATTTGGAGTTGAAGGTTGCAGCCAGTACTCATCTTGTCTTGGACTTCCAAGATATTGCATGGTATCTGTCTGACGTGAATTTGCAGACTCGGCGCGAGAAGAGTTTTTACTCTCACTTCACTCACTATGAATATGGTCATATTTCTGTTGACCTCAATAGTGATGAAGATGTAGCTGAACATGCATATCCTGTGGTTGACTACTGGGAAGTAGATGTTCACAAGAGAGAACTGATACGTCACCACAAGGATTATAGAAAGATTCTTTTTCCAGCAACTAAGTCCTGTCCTGTAGACACTGACTTACTGGAAGACTTGCGACTGACAATCATCAAGAAGAAGAAAGGAGGAGAAGAGATCAAGAAGCAAGATGATTGGCGCAAGGCAAAATGGAAGGACCTACAAATTGGCTATGAATGGCGTGGTAGAACAATTTTTAAGTTCAAGCCAGATGCCAAAATTCCAGATCTAAAGATCAGGAAGGCTGGCATTGAGCACCGTGGCATTGGTGATCCCGATGCAGTGGTGCGCTCCTCCTCAGAGAAGGTTCCCATTGCAAAGGACAGGGAACCAGGCTTCTCTTCAGAGAAGGAAGGTGCACCATCCAGTGCCGCGGAAAAGCCCGTGCCGCCAAAGTTTCGGTATACTTCCAAGGGTTTTGATCCATTTTGGAAGGGACACAAGTCGAAACCATCTGAGCCTCAGAATGATTTAAAGGGTGATGATCTTGAGGAGTATGCTCCCTCAGAACCACCTGAGAGGCCAGAAGGTGAACTTGTAGAAATTCCTAAAGCATCAAAAGGACAATCAAGTGATAACCATGAACCACTTGAACCAGGTGATGGCGCTCTTGAGCCTAGGCGGATTTCAATCCCATTACCTGGTAGTGAAGTTGTTGCAATGACACCGGCATATAGGAAGATGTTACAGAGACTGGAGGACAAGGTAGAGCTTTATAAGCTTCATGTGAAGCACTACCATATGAGTCCTACTCAGTTTCGTAGACGTGTTTCTATGTTGAAGCTTCCTGACTCTGTTTTAGAGAAGTATGAATCAGTTGTCAGGAACTGCCGTGTTTGTAACACTTCAGTGGCACCTCCGCCACGAGCCAGAGTCTCCGGTATTAGAGCTTCATGTTTTGGTGATGTTGTTTTTGCTGATCATTGTGAGGTTGAACTTCACAAGAACAAGTATATCATTCTACTTGTTCTTGATGGTGCTACAAATCTTCTCTGGGCTACGGCACAGAAAGACCTCATAGATCAAACCACCATCCAAGCATTGAGGCAGTGGTCTGATGAGAACAATTGTGTTCCGAAGGCCATCGTAGGAGACGAAGCCTTTTTCACGGATGCTTTTGTTGAATACTACAGGTTCCATGGTATACAACAATGTCCTTGTGGGCCAAGAACTCCTTGGCCGAACCGAGCAGAGACAGCTGTACGTTTGTTCAAACGTATGTGGCATGTTATGAAAGTAGATCTGGATGACCCACGTTTTCGTGGTGTTACGGTCAGAGAAGTGGTCAAGAAAGTAGTGTGGGCAAGAAATTGTCAGTTGACTATCAGTGGATACTCACCAATAGAGATAGCAACTGGAAGACGTCCACCAGATCTTTTTGACCTTGAGACCGCAAGCCCTGAGCAATTGTCAGCTAGTGCAGCCGCACAAGATCGTACAAATCTGGAACTACAACGTGTGGCTTTGAGAGCCCATCAAGAAGCACGACAAGCTCAGGACCTTCGAGCAGATCTT